ATTGATTTACAATGTGTGTAACATTTGTCCCTTACCGAATTCGAAACTGCAACTAAATCTGCAATAGTCGCTAAGTGCAGGACCACAAACTTGAGCCAAAACTTAAGCCAATAAACAAGAACATACTGCGTCACTTCAAACTTATCTCACTGTCTCAAAATAGATTTGGGGTCTAAATTTTAGTGGTCCTAAAATAAATCGGTTAATTTAAACCCTTGATCTCAAGATGGGTCAGGTCTATCAGACCGGGGGAACGAACCCGCCACGGCTGCGGGGGGTTAACGTACGTTCATTGAACGCAGCGGGAAATATTTACGAGCTGGTTTAGTGTTAGAGAAAATAGAAATTCTTTGCTATCAATCAAGAATCTACGGCATTGTTTTCTTTGATTTATCTTAATAATGCGCATACCGATGACGTTTGCTATTAAAATATGATTTACTCTTTAAATAATAATATGATTAAACATGTAGTAGTTATAAATAAAATCATCTTATTGTAAAGTACTCATCGTGAGTACCTACTTTATTTTTCGATACAAGTGGATCTTTACAATAATTGTAATTGTATTAAACCTGAAGATTTTTCAAAATTCAAAAATAGGCATGTCATTTTTTAAATAAACTTGTATAAGTGCATTTTGTATGTTATTTTGCGCCAAAAATTATCGTGTAAGGTGCCATATTCACAAATTTTAATGATGAAGAGGATTTTGTTGCGTATTGTGCCGCTACAGACGCTTTATTTCTACTTCATAATCAAAACCATTAAAAATATGCTTTGCTTAAATAAATGTTTTTAATTCTTGCAAATAATTTGTAGAGACGTTGAGCGCTCGGCAAAATGAAAAAGAAAATTAAGCATTTACTTCTTTCATATAGTTTTGTAAGTATTCTACTGGTCCATAGAAGCATTTTTCTTCAGTTTTATTTCAGAATATGTATTTAACTCTTTATTGCTCTGTAAACAATATCTAATCACATAAACGAGTGCGCATCGTGTGTGTATCGATTGGTTAGATAACGTGGCGGACTCAAATAACCAATTACAGCCTTACGTCGGATATCCGAAGAACAGTGGAAATTGTGGTTATCCGAAACCGATGGAACAAGGGGAATCCCGTAAAGGACGATGTTTTAGCGATAAAATGTGTCTTTGTGAGGAACAATCTTTTTTCATGGAAGACTTAGGCTGGATTGCACCATCATTCTTTAACTTTGACAAACGTCATTAATCTGTCAAACTTCATAAAAAAAGCCGGTTATCTTTATAGACGGTCAAAGCTCAAAAGTGGTGCAGTTTAGTTTTCAAGTTTTGTGTTAGTTTTACAAACAATAGTTACTGCTTTTTTAGTTTTATTGCAAAATCTTTCGTCAATTCTTATGCAGAAAAAGAATCTTCTTTCACGGACTACTCTTAGGCGGAGTTGCACCACCTAACTTTGACCGTAACTATAACGATAACCGGTGCTTTTTGTATGGAGTTTGACAGATTTTTGACGTTTGTCAAGGTTAAAGTAAGATGGTGCAACCCAGCCTTAGGGTCTCGTTACTGCCACGTAGTCCGTGGCAAGAAACCGTAGTATCCTTGTCAAGAAGCTACGGTCTTTTTAGTACTTATTCATTTGAGCTAGTGCTGATAGGAAATAAAGTTAGAGCTTATTCACTAAATTTATACGTTACCTACTTTATTATGAATTTTAAAAAAACCTCAGCAAATACAAACAATCGTTTTAAAACCGGGTAAAGTTCAAGAGGCGTACACATTAGTAGTAAATTAAAATTGTGCTTAGCGGACGCGGCTCCCCGCTTCAGAATTGTTTCTGGGTGTTCCGCAAAAGCAATTAATTTCAAAACTCTGAACAAATTCCAATGGTTTCGAACATTTTGTGTTTTCTCATGGGCGATAAGGAAAGATTTTTAATATTTGATGCGATCATGCAAAATTGAGCCTTCTCAATCTTCCAGAGTGGGATAGTCTAATTTAATTAGTAACCATTCAGGGTTGCGTCAGTTCCTTTTTATGCATAACAAGGTAGGTTTTGATTAATTTGACCTCAATCACACCTGGTGTTAAGAGAGCTGACGCAGTCTACCTACACATCTGCCCTGTGTGTCTAATAACTCTCGCCTTGAAAAGGCTCAGATTATAATGTTTGGGAAAGAAGCAGGCAGCGAATTCCAGTCCCTAGTTGTTCGGATAAAAAAAAGAGTTCTGTTATACCCCGATTATAATATGGGAGCGGCACGGGAGGGTCAGCGAGACTTCAGATATGCTTTAGATTTGTATTCACGTCTTAATTATGTCAATGTCAACCCTCCTTTGTTTTTCCCATTCCCATATATCAGGCATTTACTGAGTAAAGCACTCACAGAAAACCGGCGTGAAGCAGCGCTTGCGCTGTGTTTCGCCGAGTGAGTGAGGATACCGGAGGCCCAATTGGGGGGAATGGGATTTAAAAGGTTGGCAGCGCACTTGTGACTTCACTGATGTTGCTGGTGTACTATCGGGGACTCTTCCGCCTGACCACTTTGTAGAAATTTTAGCGTAAGCGAATCGCTCCGGTCACGTGCTCACCCCGTCTCTAATTGGTTACNCATAGTAATCGGAATAGGTTGTGTGATTCTTTCAGGCAGTGCATTTTCGCATGTCGCGTGCGCTATGGAAACTGCTGGCAAGGGGTATCTTTGTTCAACAATTACGTCGAAACTAATAGACTTAGACTAATAAATTTACATTCGTTTTGTAGAATAGCTCAAATACTATTAATAAAATGCAAATAAAACATACCTTAACGACCCGGTTTTTCTTGTGTTGGAATATAACTGAAAAAGAAGTGAAAAAGTTATATAATATTTTAAACTATTTAATGACTAATATTTAATGACTCGTGCAACCGAGCCGAAACGTCGGGAGGGTAAATATTATTTACCGTTAAAATAGATATTGTTGCAATAAATCCCGTGAAGTGATAATTTTATTGAAAAAGTTATGTTTTTTTCTAATTAAATCCATTCTTACTCCCTTAAAATGTATGAAACTTGTGTCTGTTTTCCACTTTTACTAATAGATAATTTTATTGGCTATCGAATGATATAAAATATTTTCCTATTAATGTTAAGTTACCCACGCTTTCACTTGTTTTTGAAGGAAGAGGTGAAAAGTAAAAATTAAAAACTTAAATACTTGTAATTTTGCGAGAAATGGATTAAGCCCCAAATTTGAAGTATTTTCATCGATAAAATTGTCCATAGATTACGCCCTTAAAGTTTGATCACTACATGCCCGGACACACTGTATATTCGTTGCAGAGTAGTCGAGTTGTAGTAATTAATAGCCGTTTCAGATTTCCCTTTATATATTTCTTATCTTCATTAAACGGGATTTATTTGCGGCGTCTTTATTTAGTCTTTTCACTTTACTGTCACTATTTTTCTTGTTGATTTCAATAACACAGGTGAGATACACTTTGGGTTACATGGTAAGTCCGTTTTTGTTTACTTTAGATTGATGATAACATTAGTAAAAACACAAACTTTGCGGAGCCGATATAAACAAAAGCACAGCAGCGCCCTCTCTCATAGCCATAGGGTAGTTAATAGACTTAGGCATGTCATTAATATACACCAAGAACAATAAAGGACCCAACACACTACCCTGGGGGACTCCAATTTTAATCACTCTACCTTCAGATCTATATTATTATTTATTACTGTTAGAAGATGATATGCGAGTTATTTCTGTGAATTGGATTCTTTTGTCTAAGTATGATCTTATTAGATTCAAAGCATTTCCTCTAATACCATAGCGATATAGTTTTTTTAAAAGTATAGTATGGTCTACGTGGTCAAAAGCTTTTGACATGTTCATAAAGACAGCACAAGTTGGTTTAGTTTTGTCTAAATTTAATGTTACACGTTTTGCCAAGTCATAAATTGCAGAATTAATACCTTTCATTCCGTCGTTGGCTAGCGCTGAGAGTGGTGGTGCTATCGCTTCTTACCAAATTACTGTAAATACTCTCACGGAATTATCGCCTTATTTAACCTAAAGTTTCTAAATCGATTAGTGTCATTTTCGTGTGCACGTTTGATATCAATACGTCACACTATGGATCGAAATTGAGATTTATGGACCTAGCGAATTTTTTCACAATTTCTATTTGAAAAAAATACCTATCGATAGGTTACGTTATTCTGATGAATAAATGCTGCTCAAGTTTTTCTCTAAAACCAATAGTTTGGCTGGAAAAAAATATTTTCCATTTTCGTTGTATGGAATGAAACATAAAGTGGTCGATTTCTACTAAGCCTTGACAGATCTTGCTTTGAAACTACTTGAGCCTTGTTCTATGGCTTGTTGACTATAATCCTACACTATCAGCGCGCGCCCAAAGTTGCCCGTTCACAAGTTATGAGGTTCTGAAAAATTAAAAACAAGTAAGTAAAAGTGACTTTTTTTTTTAATATCTTTAAAGATTTAACGAAAATATAAAGATTCTATACGTTAGTAATGTAAATTAACCTTAAATTACTGATAAAAACACATTTTAATAAAATTAATAGTAATAAAACAAGCGATTTTTTTTTCACAATTTCTGTTATAAAAAATACTTATCGATAGGGTATGTTATTCTGATGAATAAATATCATTGAACGTTTTTCTCTAAAACCAATAGTTTGGCTGGAAAAAAATATTTTCCATTTTTGTTGTATGGAATGAAACATAAAGTGGTCGATTTCGACAAGCCTTGACAGATTTTGCTTTGAAACTACTTGAACCTTGTTTTATGGCTATGTCCATAAATCTCAATTTCGATCCATAGTGCGTCAGTAAACTGAGTGAGACAATAAATAGTGACCTGTGGCCCTCTCGCTCCCGCACCGCATCTATCGGTCGTGACAGCGGGGTTACCTCACACCTCACCGCCAGGTCACAGGACAGCAATATATTTTTTTGCTCTCTCACACCTCTGGACTCAAAGGCTGCGCACCAGCACAATGGCGTTACAACACACACCACCAAACAAGTTCTCCGCCTCGGACACCAATATACCTACATCGATTGATAACGAACAATGCGAAGAGGTTGACTGGATTAGTGCCCGCAGACGTAAACAACCTTCTAATGTCAACATAACTCATCTTGAGGAAAGATTCAATGATCAACTTGCAATTTGGGACACCAAAATAACTGAATGCATCGGGTCTGCGGTGAGTTCTGCCTTGTCCACCGAGATGAATAAAATCTCATCTGTACTCGGAGAATTGAATAATAACATGACTAAACTCAATGCCGACAATGTAAACATAACCAAATCAATAAACGAAACTAATTCTCGGCTAGCTGATTTGGAGAAATCTCTGAGTTACTCACATGAGCGCCAGGACGTATTTGACGGCCGACTAAAATCAGTAGAAGACAAATTATCCGTCTCTGAGCACCTGGAGACACAGATGAACGCACTTGAACAGAAGCTCACAGCCATGGAACAAAATGCCAGGCAGTGCAATCTTGAAATCTGCAACATACCCGAGCGACGAGGTGAAAACCTCATTAGCATCGCAGAAAGTCTAGGCGGTATCATTGCGTGCCCTATAAGGGCCTCGGACATTGTTTCTATTCATCGTGTACCGCACGCCGACTCAAAAATCAAACGACCGAAGAATGTGATTGTCAAACTGACTAACAGAATGCTACGCGATAATGTCATCTCAGCGTGCCGGTCAACCAAGGGTTTGGACTCATCGAAGCTGTCTATAAGCGGGCCTCCGGCTACAATCTATGTGAACGAGCATTTGACAATCAACAACAAGCTGCTATTTCGCCAGTGCAGGGAAAATGCTAGAAAACAAGCATACAAATACGTGTGGGTCAAGCACGGTACTATCCTGGTACGAAAGTCGGACTCCTCCCCGGTTATTGCCATACGTACTTTGGCTGACATTTCAAAAATTAAGTGATAAGTGTTATCATGTTGGTTGGTTATCTTTTTTTCTAATAAGTAAGACATTTGAAAAATCAAATGCTACGTATTGTTATAGTAACTCTTTCTCAATTTTCCTAAAAAGTAAGACATTTTATAATTTAAGTGATAGGTATTATTTTAGTGACTGGTTTTCAATTCTCTTAACAAGTAAAAGTCTATTAAGCTATCGAGTATACCTAATAACATCTACTATTTTAACTTGGTACAAACATAATAATTGTTTACAAAATTATAGTGTAACTAATCAGAATAATAGGCATATAGTAATAGGTTTACTTTCTTCATGTTGTGACATAGGTGTGGCATCAGCTGTGATGCCTGATGATGTGAGTCTTAGGTTTTATTTGGTGTGGATTTTCTGTCGGATTGACGGTTTGACGTGCTCCTGGAAGCACAAAGTAAATTTGTCTGTCGAGCAACAAGTGTCACTTGGTATGTATAGTTATAACATCACAAGGGCTATTAAATCATTAAAACAATTTATTAGTCAGCTATTACTACTACCATATAGTGCAATATTTTTTTATAACGCCTATGAGTTACATTCTCAATGGGCACACTCAAAAATGATTTTAATTTTATCTGTACTTGCTGTAGAATTAAATAAACCACAATGCTTACAATTTAACTTTATTACAAAACATGTGCTATATTATTTTTGTAATACACAATACAGTGTAAATAAAATCATTTTAAATTATTCGCCTCTTATAAATGAATAGACACACATTATCAGTTTTTTACCAAAACTGCCGAGGCATAAGGACGAAATTGCACACGCTTTATAACAATATATTATCTCATAACTATGACATCATTGTTTTAACAGAGACCTGGTTGCATGAGGATATTTCCGATGAGGAATTTATGGACAAACGTTATAGAGTATTTCGACATGACAGAGACCGAGCTGGTAGTGGTAGGCGCGACGGCGGCGGTGTGCTGGTGGCGGTGCGCCGCGAGCTCGCCGCGACGCCCTGCGCCCGCGCCGCCGCCGCCGCGTCCGGGGCGCGCTCGCCTCTAGTTGATCACGTACTTATCGAGTTGCGGACGCGCAACTACTGTTGTGTTCTTAGTGCCGCATACATCCCACCTAATCTGAGCTCGGATGTATATCTATCACACTTCAATTTTATCTCTCAAATATTAGAAAGCTCAGACGTAAATGAATTCATCATTACGGGCGATTATAATTTACCAACACTGGAGTGGCGAGACTGTGGAACATACTTGGAACCTATTATTTACAGTAATTATTGCTTACCAAATAAATATTTAATAAATCTTATGTCAACTTTGAACGGCTACCAAATTAATAAATACAGGAACTCAAGAAATAGAATACTGGACTTATTCATATCTAATATTAGTAACTCGCATGCTACAAGTGTGTCATTACCATTAGTACAACCGGATGAAAATCATCCTCCTTTTTATGTAATGTTGCCTATAAATAGTAACATCTCAACAATCTCCAAAAAATCAAGTATACAATATAATTATATTAAAGCTAATTATGAATTGATTAATAAAGATATTTGTAATGTAGATTGGAACGGCTTACTCTCGGATAAAAATGCAGAAAGTGCGGTCTCGACATTTTATGAAAAATTTTATCAAATAATTAAGGACCATGTTCCTACTAAAACAATAAAGTCATCTAATTTTCCAATTTGGTTCTCCCCAGCGCTAGTACACATCTTTAAAAATAAGAATAGCGCTTGGATCAAATGGAAAAAATACCATAACATATCAGACTACGAGATGTTTGCCNAACGTTGTGATAGAGATAGCGACATGCGATTTTTGGTTTTACGAAGGTAATACGATAGAAAATAATACAAAGTAATAAAAACTACCGGTTATAGGGGCATTTTTTGGAGAAATTTTACAAATAACCAAAAAAACACGAATTTAAAAGCAGATTTTTTCAAAAAGTATCTTTTTTAATTATTTGTTGGCCTTTTTTGTGTATTTTACGTATTTTTTTAGTATCGCCTGTTATTTAGCATTATTACTGTTTTTATTTTATCAGGATATACCGTTTAGTTTAAAAGTTATTACGTTTTTTTACAATAAGTAATTGGAAGAAAAAAAATTCTATAAAAAATTTAAAAAAAATCTCAAAAATTTTTTGACCTCTTTTTTGTCGATAAAAATAGGTCTAGTTTCATCTATTTTCATATGTACACTTTAACGTGACTCACACTGTATATTCATCCCGGAAGAACTAGTACTGAAAGAACTTCGTATTTTAGACATCACAAAGGGCGCGGGAGTTGACAACATACCGCCGGTCTTTCTTAAATCTACTGCTTTGACCATCTCTCAGCCAGTACACTACATCTTTAACTTATGCTTGCGCGAGGGTGTTTTCCCTNCGTTTGCCTTATACAGATCTAGATTCAAAAAAGAGTCACATAAATGTTACACAGAATATATGAAGTCAGTTGAAAATAGTATCCATGACAATATGAAATACTTCTGGAGATATGTTAAGAATAGGAAAAGAACATCTGACATTCCCGATAGGGTGGCATATGGTGGTTCTACTGCTGACAATCCCCAGAAAATATGTCACCTGTTTTCATATTTTTTTAAATCAGTTTTTGAACCATCGTGTGTTACAGATAGTTATGACATAAGCAATATTTATGACAACAACATTACATCGGATCTGACCATTAGTAATACAGTGTGAGTCACGTTAAAGTGTACATATGAAAATAGATGAAACTAGACCTATTTTTATCGACAAAAAAGAGGTAAAAAAATTATTGAGATTTTTTTTAAATTTTTTATTGAATTTTTTTTTCTTCCAAGTACTTATTATAAAGAAANTGCTTGCGCGAGGGTGTTTTCCCTGTCATCTGGAAAGCCGCGCGTATAGTCCCTGTCTTTAAGAGCGGGAATAAAAGTGACGTTGAAAACTATCGGCCCATATCCATTTTGTCCACTCTGTCGAAGCTTTTCGAGAGGTTAGTTCATAACATAATTTATCCATCCTTGCATAATATTATAATACCACAACAACACGGTTTTATTAGAGGTCGATCTACTACTACAAATTTATTAATATATACAACATATCTATTTGAAAGCATGGATAATAACAAGCAAACTGATAGTGTCTACACAGACTTTCGGAAGGCATTCGACAGGGTGGACCATAAATTGCTACTGGATAAGATTGCTTATAATGGTATTCGCGGTAATCTATGGCGCTGGTTTAAGTCATATATAACAAATCGCACACAAAAGGTGGTTATAGGTGGCTACGAGTCTGATTTTGTGAATATAAGCTCTGGCGTCCCTCAGGGCTCTATTTTAGGCCCACTTCTCTTTACATTATTCTTAAATGACATAGATCACTGTTTTGAATTTTGCGACTTCTTGTTGTATGCAGATGATCTAAAAATTTTCCATATTATAGAAAACTATGATGATCACATTAAATTTCAATCTGATTTGAATCGCTTTTCTCACTATTGTGTAAACAACAAACTTAGCCTCAGTATTAACAAATGTAAAGTAATAATTTTCACTAAAAAGAAACAAGTTAGCGACTATGCATACAATCTAACAGGTGTTACTCTTGATGTTGTTAATTCCATTAGGGACTTAGGAGTAACATTAGACAGTAAACTCCATCTCGACCTACATGTAGATAATATAATTAATAAATCATTGAAGATGTATGGCTTTGTTATGCGCTCAAGCACACAATTTTTGCAACCTACAACCTTTTTGTGCCTTTACAACGCTCTAATTAGATCCCAACTTGAATACGCGGTATCCATTTGGGACCCGTTTTACCATAAATATGTTGACGCTCTGGAAATGGTTCAAAAAAAATTTTTACGTGCAATGAACTTCCGTTGCCGCCGCGGTAGACTACCATATGTTCAGCTCATTGATAGATACAAACTCCTAAGGCTCACAGACAGACGCAAGCAGCTAGGTGCCATGTTATTGTACGACCTGTGCCATAATAGATACGACTGTATTCCTATCATAGACAAATTGTATTACAGAGTTCCTACTAGGGCTCACTGCCGAAACCCATGTAAATTATTTGCAACCCCTTGGTGCCGCACTAACGCGGGTAAGCGCTCACCATTGTATCGACTTGTTCACACATATAACCAACTCTTTAACACTATTGACATAATGGCAGAGAGGCCTAGTAAATTCAAAAAACTTCTAATAGAAACGCTTCGTGGCGCTGACTGACTGACTAGTCGTAATGTCTTTATATTGCTTTGCAACTTTCGAAACATAACTTATGTGTCAAATCGTAAAACTGATATTATTAGTTAATCCTAAGTAAGGTTGTTGCGATTCGCGGGGGCGGGTGGGCTTTACATGTGTGGTGACTCGTTTTCAAAAGTGTTGATAGACATCACATTATCGACAAGTTCATGTACGCGTGCACGCACGGGTCAGGCTCGCCCGCCTTCGTGGGTTGCAGGGACTATAAATGAACGTACCTGTGTCACAGCATAGTCGGACCTCGATATTAATTAATTATGTAATTGAAAATTATACGATTAGGTACTAAATAATTCTCACTATACTTACCTGAATCTGTTAATATGCCTACACTCTGTTGTTACTAACCTAAATACATAACATACAATAAATTAATATTAAATAAAAAATAAAATAAAATATTCAAAATGCAGTCAGTGCGATGGCACATCAGACTATACATTTTTGTTGCAGAATATCATTTAAATATTTGTTGGTATGATGGATGTGGTTGTCTACATGCGATTTTTGCCGCAAAATGGCATTTAGACAGCCGCAGAAGATGCCACAGTGCCTCCTTCGATGTGCTACCGCCTGTACCTACGTAATAAGTGTTTACTACGACCACTCTCAACACAAGTTTAATTAACTGTTTTATCTAAACTGTGGTAAATGATGCTGGTGTTGAATTTAGATAATATTGGTATATTAGTATTATTTATTTGCTACTGTACTTCAATACTGTTTTTTTACCCAAATAAATAAATAAAAAAATAAATAAGACTTGTTGCGAACTTTTTGGCTACTTTGGGTGTCATGAACTATTTGAAGCTGACTGTACGAAGTTTTAAAAGCTTGTTCGTCCAATTTCAAAGCTTTTTCTTGTCATTTTTTAAATCATTTTAAAAAAATACTGCTTTTCCTTGTAACAAAAATAAGTTATTTTACACTAGCTTTCCGCCCGCGGCTTCGCTCGCGCGAGAAAGGGCTGTTTTTAGGGTTTTCCCGAAAATTATTCGAATTTTTCTCGCCGTAAAAATCATCCTTGGACTTCAACGAACATTAAAATAAAAGATTCGGTAAAAGTGGTCTAGGTGTTGTTAAGTTATGGGCTTACCAACACATTTTACGATTTATTTTTATATTATGGATTATGATGTTTAATATTTAAAAATAAATTATGAGAGAAAACATGTAATGCTTGGCCAAAACTTGCAATAAAATAAATATATCTCCCATTTGCCGACCACCTGTGGCCAAAGTGAACGGAATCATATGTCAAAGATTAAAATACATGAACACAGTGAAAATAATACCTATTAGAGTTCTGTGTGATAATAAGAAACCACTCAACGACTATTTATGATGATCTATCATATTTTCATAAGGAATTTCATAAGGTTTTAGAGCATAATCTGACCTCACTTATCCGCCAACTTATGATGTATGTTCAAGTAATTTGTTATTTCAATTACGTAAAAATCTACTTTTACAGTTACAATGATCTTTACAAAGAAACAAAACAAGAATTAGTACTAAAATATTTCAAATGGTTTTAAATGCGAGATAATGATAATAACAGTTAACTATTTCACATTCTGATAACGTAGCCTACTCTTTAACCAAACCGTTGAGATCACGGGCCAAATGAGTAAAAAACATAACTTTCATCCAAGATTACGGAACCAAAACTAACGTTTATCAGAACGAATCCAACTTAAAATCATATCTCACCAGCCAATTGGTCATACATCACCACAATGGCCCAAACGA